TACTGTTTAATCTTATCATGTTGAACTTGTGTACTTTTTAGTGAGGTCAGCCATCTCTAGATGTCTGTCTGGGTCTGGAGAAAGTCCCATGTAAATCTGATGAGTTGATCACCTAGCTATCATATAGTGTCTTGAAAGAGAACTGAATACTTGTAGATGAATAGAATATTTGAATTTATTGTTCCTTTAATTTCAAGTGTTGTTGAGTTTGTTGGTGCTGATAACTAACACTTTTTGATTAGTTTTCCTCATGTTGGTTTGCTGAATTTTCTCAGATTTCCATGACTACAGAAAGCAGAGGATCAGATCAGATGTATGTGATAGGCACCACAGGGAAGGGAGCAGTTAAAATATATGGGTACAGGGGCCCTCTTCCAAAGAATTAGAAGAGAATTAATGGGAATGGGGCTTAAGTTTATTAGTTTCTTTTTTTAATCCCAAGCATTTTCAGTGTGCACTGAATCCGAGGATATGGGTTCTATTAACTGTAAAGGATGGCAAAGGTAGTATTTACTCTGCTAATGTTTCTGTTCTTGTATTTTCAACTGCCTTTAACAAAAGGGTCAATATAGCCAGGGTCTTTTTTTTTTTTTTTTTTTATCTTGGCTGGAATCCTAGTTCTTTGGTTGAGGCTCTGAAAGCATCGCTTGATAGATGGAAATAATTATTAGGCTAGTTAGAGATGCAACAAGAACAAACATCCTTATCCTAATTGGTGTAAACATAGCAATGCGCTCAACCCTTACAGTTTAATAGTAATGATGAAAACATTCCTCAAGATTTTAGCTTGTCTTTTATTCTAACAATTTATTTCTGAAACAGAAGGATTCTCCCCCATTGTGTCACCATTTAAAATCTACTTAATATTGAAAAGCTAAGTGACATTGGTTGTTGAATTCCTGAGCTTGGAGTTGACTGTTACCATTCTAGAATCAGGGACTTTGCTTTCCCTGGGGCTTACTTAGGAGGATGGCTTAAATATAATAGATACAGAATACATATGATTGATTAATATGTCAACTACACCCCAAGTCAGGATATGCTTCCATTCAGAGTTAATTTAATAATGCCTTTGGGAGGAAACTTCTCATTAAAAATGTGTTAATTGTAACCTTTAATTCTGAAAGGTAAAAAGAAAAAAAGTGCAGTTCAGTGGTTCTTCAAATCTTTCAGGTCACATCACTGTTTGAAAACGTGGTATCTTCTCTGGAGCCTTGCCTCAGGAATCTACCTTCATAAAACTGCCCTCTCAGTTCATGCAGCCCAGGGACAGACCTAGGGAAGCTGGCCCTTCAGGTTACAAATGCTCCTCCACCACCCCCTACTGGTTTGTCCTGGACATTGTTGATGCAAAAAGATGGACATTATTTCTATGAGACATTTATAAGTATTTTTGTTCTCTTTTTCAGGGCTTATTGACTACAATTTTCATTGCTTCCGAAAGGCCATTCATGAGGTTTTTGAAGTGAGGATGAAAGTGGTGAAGTCTCGAAAGGTTCAGAATCGGCTACAGAAAAAAAAAGGAGCTACCCCTAATGGGACCCCTCGAGTGCTGCTGTAGGTGAGGTTTCAGGAATGAAATTGGACCTTTTTGATGAGGCTCCTGCACCATGTTGCACTAAAGAAAGGGGGAAGGAGACTGGAATATAAGATGTGGATTTGTTGTTTTAAAAAAAATTCCTGCAACCTTGTTGATCTTTTTTGTTTTTTAAATAAAGTAAGCACTTTGAAGCAAAAACTTGTATATTAACAATGAAGTAAAATCCACTGTACTTTCATTACACAAATGTAAACTTCTTTGGTCAGTAGTTAGAAAAATCCCGTGTGAGAACTGCCAGAAATTGTACATATTTTGCACTTTTTCATGTTTTTTTTTCTCATTGAACTGAACTTTGATAAGATGACTTTTCTAAACTCTTTTCTGTACTTGGTGTCAAGGACGTGCATACTGTAGCTCATATCCTATGGAAATCAGACATTAATCAAAGTGATGCATTGGTAATGACTTTTTGTAAATTTGGGAATCTTTGCTACCAGTTGTTGAGAGAAATCATTTTTCAGTGGAGCTGGAACAGATTAGGTCTGCAAGCTCCAGGAGCAATAAGAACTGTCCCCTATTTATAACAGGTATAAATAGTTTTGTAGAAAAATTTTAGCACCAAACTTACCTAAAAGTTTCTATTACCATGGCTGTACTTCCTAAATCAACAGTTTGTATGAAGCCCTTTTCCTCAATACACACTTCTATAAATCACTTTATACAGACAGGTGATTTCTTTTTACTGCATTATTATTCTTTAGAACCTTTGGGACCAGATTTCCAAAATGGTGCCAATCACTGGGGAGAAATAAGAATGTCGCTGAGGCCTGGTATCTGGAGGCTCCTCTGTACCTGCCACTTGGGGCTAAAGTAACATCAGAGGCCAGAGGTTTACCAAATGTAGGGGATTGGCAACTGTAGCCTAAAATACATAGGTACAGTTCTGTATGTTTGGCCCCCGTGCAGTGGCCTGTTGTGTTACCTTCAAAATCTTATTTAGGATCAGTTTTTTATTGCTCCATGGCCACAGTGAATAGAGTACATCTTTACCATGGAACTTAATCCTGTTGGCTGTCTTTGTCACCTGAATCGCTTTTTCATGGCAATAGTGTGCCTCAAGTCCTTTACCTGTTTTCACAGTATACTGAGCTCAGCTTGCTACCAAGCATGCTCCGTAAGGCTGAAGAGCCATTCTGAAAACCCTTGCAATAGTGAGAAAGGATAGCCAGACAAGGAATTACAGCTTTGCAATTATCTCCAAGAAGTTTCTTAAGTTTACCTTAGAATAGCAGAAAATCGAGTCCTAACTATACTCCTGTGCCAAATCATTCCAAGTAAATCTTCATGCATCCCAGAGGTTAGTACTCTATGGCATGCTTTCAGGGCATTAGAAACAAATTTTTTTGGGGCCAGGGATTTAGCTCAGTGGTTCGGAGGCCTGCCTTGCAAGCACAAGGACCCGAGTTCAATCCCCGGTACCAAAAGAAAAAAATTTTTTGAAAAAGCAGAGCCTGTTGGAGACAAGAAAAGTTGATCCTAACAAAGTAGACAAAGTCCCTAAAACAACTTGTCCTTGAAATCCTCCCACTTCGTGGCTTCTTTCCATCCTTTCTCTCTGCCCTATTCCCAAATCCTATTGCTTTAAAGGTGGTAACTAAAATTGAAGATAGTAGTTCATTGGGGTTTAAGGTTTGAGCCTCCCAAAAGTCTGTACCTGTTGAAAGATTTCTAAAAAAATCATTAAAGTACCCTAATTCCTTTCCTCACATTTTCCACTCATAAATCTGGTTGGTTAGGATCCCAGGATTCCGATGAAGCCTTCTCTCTAACTTTTGGAGCTCTATCTTATTCAACTGTTGCCGACAGGCCTGTCTCACATGGGTTATTCTTATAGATCTAATTCTTGAATATTTTTTATGGAATATTTTTCTTTCTAAGTAAATAGTCAAGTTTCTAATACAACTTAATCCTCAAGATAGAGACACTTGCCTGTTTGGTAAATCACACTTTACCTAGTATATATATATTATTATAACCAAGTGGAGCTTCCATTTTTAAGCTGGGTATATGATGAGTTTTTGTTAAAATGTGCCTTAAAAAGCCTATTACTTCAAGAGCAAGTGATTCTTTGGGGGAAAGGCAAAAATAATCCTAGACTCTGGACCCAAGTTTGTGGTAGTAAGTGCACTCTTTGATTAATCACATGCTAACATAGATTACTGCCTCAACTCTTGTGTGACAATGACCTCTTAATTAAATCTAAGCATTGTTTTCCAAGTCTGTGCTACTGGAATCTCAACACCTCTTCAAGTCCTTTTGCATTTTATCACTGCTATGCGAGTTAGCTTTTGGCAATCCATGGCCACATTTCATGCTTAAACACAGCTATAAAGAGAAAGGCCAAACACATGGCTACAGTGACTGCACTGGGCATTTTTGCACAGTTTTAAAGGTTGAGAACTTGACCTGCAGGTTTTTAGAGCAGGGCAATCCTTTGCCTTTTGAGTCAATTCGAATTTCTACATAGAGGTGAAACTGTGAATTATCATCTTCGGTTATTTTCAGTAATGTAAATTAACATGAATGACCAGTATGGAGTGTTTTTGAAAGAATATAAATAAAAAACTGGTGAATATTCACAAATAGTGTTATTTTGTAAACACAATATTTTGGACCCTTAAATAAAATAGCTAAAAATCACAGCAATACTGTTATATGCCAGTTGTTTGAAACATACCCCAGAAAAACAGCTGACCTATTGTGATTATTAAAATACAGTATGTATTCAATTTGTATAGACTGGATGTAATTTGTAATCAAATATACTGTGTGTTTTACTTTAAGCAGTACATCATTTATATCTGTTATTAAACTGTTGCTTTCAAGAATGTTAACTGCCAATTTAAAAGCATGCATCATATATTCATGGCTTGGTAAGGCTCTCATTTTATTTCTGACATATTCATAACTCATCTTTCTGGGAGCTGAATGTCTGTTTGGATAAAAGGAAATATGGGCTTTCACATTTGAGAGTTGTTTACCATACACTTTTTTTTTTTGGTACTGGGGATCAAACTCTGGTCCTTGCGCCTGTGAGGCAGGTGGCAGAACCACTGAACTAAATTCCCAGCCCTACCATACACTTTTTATTACTATTTCAGAGACTCTGCTAGGTCCCTCTTTATTAGAGGTAGTGGTCTTGTTCTATTGCCCAGCTGGTCTTGAAAATCTGGGTTCAAGTAATTTTCCTGCCTCAGCCTCCAGATTAGCTAGGACTACAGATCCATGCCATCGTGCCTGGCTATTTAATAAAATCTATCTTGATAAACAGTTCTTATTTTATAGAAATAAGGATAAATTGTTCTGTTTAGACCGAACTTTGATCAAACACCAGGCCTCACACATGCTAGGTAAGCACTGTCCAACTGAGCTATGCTCTAAGGTCCTTTAAATTCTCTCTTCTCTCCAGACTTTTTATGGGGGGACTTGCTGGTTAGGACTGTTATTTCAGCAAACTTGAGATATTGATTCCTGTTTTTCTGACCCTAATCCCTTAGTCACCTGGAAATCTCCTTTATCATTCAATATTTTGCTTATTAGTAAAATTCTATTCTGTAGGTGACCTTTACAGATCCCCTGGGAGTTCTCAGAAAAGGCTAGCATTAGGTGTTATATCTTAACTATGAAACACTGTTTTGATTGGAAAACCTGATCTTGATAAAATTATTGCCAAGAGTTTTATTCAGTGATGATGTTAAATTTAAGAAGAAGAAAACCTCTTTAACAGAATATTCAAAGATAATAGATAAGAGCTTTTACATAACGATCCTCATGAATCCAAGAGGTAAGTACTATTTCAGTTTTTCAGATGAGGCAACCAAGGCCAGAGAATTAAACTGGTGAAAGTCATGCAACTAGTAAGATGCAAGGCCAGGAATCTGACCTGGTAGTCCACTCAACTACAGCTATAAAAGTAGCTTTACCGAATGTCTTAAATGCCTTCCTTTCACAAATATGAAGAGGGCCACTTGGATTTACAGCTGCATAAGCTTAAATACTAAGGTATTTAAAAAATACCTATTCTTTTTGCTCTGGCATATTTATAAAGCTAATAGAAATAGAAAGCTTCCCTTAGAGAAAAAAATTCAACAAAGATTATGCATTTTTCTTCTTAATCCATATTAAGTAACTAATGCCTCGATGACAGTGTTTAAATATCAAGAAGAAATTTACCTTTTATAGCCATTTGGTTTTCTAATAGACAATAGTGTGTCAAGCTCTGAGAAGAGAATAAACCTGATCTCAGCAACATTCAACCTTTTTGCTTAAATTTACAGTGTGTATCACAGTCACTTATAGAAAAATCAAGAAGGTTCATTTCAATCCTAATCCTTTCTTATGCTCACACCGATATTAAAAATTGCCACTTGCATACCTTTGCTGGAATCATCTGTAAGAAGAGTTTCAAATCCTGTGTCAAAAATTGGCTTCCTTCTTGCTGAGAGGATATAGGCATCCTTCCTAAAATCCCTGCCTGACACTTGGGTCTCATTCGTTTTTAAAAAATTAATTTTACTGGTACATTTAAGGTACACAATGTAATGACATTCATCATTGGAAATTTGCACCTTTACATAATCCATCTTGGTTCTTATTTTTTCCCAATTCCCCTCTCCTCCCTTTTAATCCTCCACATCTCCCTATCTACAAAGACTTTGTTTCCATTTTTTCTTTTCTCATGTTAATTCTGTTCCCATCTTTCTTTTCCCCTCTCAGTTCTCTTTCCCCTTTGTACCTTTTCTTCCTATTTCACATTATCGTTCTTGACTCTTCTTTCCTCTTCACTTCCTACATTCACTCAGCTCTTCCAGTTCAACCCTTCAAATGTCTGTTGAATTGGTTTTCTCCTCTCCATCTCCTCTGCCACTATCTTGGCTTAGCCTGCCATGTCCTCTTATTTGTCACATTAGCTTTCTCACCAGCATGTACTTCATCTAACCATCAGTTCCATTCTCTACCCAAGACCCAAAGTGACCTTTCTAAACCATGACAGTTCTTTTAGACTCACTTAACACCTCCAGTTGCTCTCCCTCTCAGATACCAGTCCAAACTCCTTCCTGGTCTGCAAGACCCCAACCTCCCTGGCTCTTACCTGCCTTTCCAGCCCTGGCTCATTTAGCTTCAGCAAAGCTGGCCATGCTGTCCACATGGTGTGTGTCAAAGGAAAGGACATAGGAGTTTTAGTCCCTTTCTTAAAAGTGTTGACAGAAATTATAGTTTTCTTTCATCCAATGAATATTCATAGGGTGTCTATTATAGGCCCAACACTGTGCTCATAGAATGGCTAACAGGCAGATACTAGAAATGAAAAAGATTTTAATATCTAAAACATAATAGAAAATAAGCTAATTTTAGATCTTTTAGGATTATAATTGTATAAAACTTTACCACTCTCCAGTAGTCTATAAGTAGCAACTAGCATCTGAGTTGTTTAACCAACAGTGATCAATAATTACATTAATACTATTTCATGTAAGACTAAACCTACTATAAGAAATTGGCTACTTTCCTTATAGTGAGGAGATGACATTAAAAGTATGAAGTTTTCAATTTTATTTGAGAAAAGGCCTCGCTATATAGTCCAGGTTGGCCTCAAAATCACGATCTTCCTGCCTCAGCCTCCCAAGTGCTACAATTAGAGATGTCCACCAGTATGCCTAACTAAACGTGAAGTTTTGACTTTTTTTAATGTCCATACTTGAGAGGCAGGGTGCCGAACTACTGAGCTAAATCCCTAGCCCTAATGTCTATACTTTCCTAACTTAATGCACATATGAAAGCACAGCCATTTTAATGAGTCTATTTATTGTTTCTACTGTTTATACCAGGGAACTGAGTGTTGCCTAAAATGGTAGGTAGCTTTTGTTCTCTTAATATGTTGACAGGAAGAGATGGAGGAAGGGTCTGATGGCAGAAAAGAGGGCAATTCAGAGCTCTTTTAGATCATTTAGAAGTTGGAATGTCTGAGTGATATTTAAAAATGTGTTCTTAAAAAGCTTACTTTTGTTTTCTCCTCTGGTGCTGGGAATTGAACTTAGGGCCTCACACATGCTAGGCAAGTGCTGTTCTGCTAAACTACATCTCTTGCCTTTTAAATTTTTGAGACAGGGTCTCACTAAATTGCCCAGACTGGTCTTGAACTCATAATCCTCCTGCCTCAGCCTATTGAGTAGCTGGGATTACAAGCACGCACCATTTGGCACCTGATAAAAGGGCTACTTTCATCATAAATGATAGTTCAGGCAGTGATCCTCTTTCAGTTACAGCATCATTATTGCATAACAGTCACAGTGAAGTAAAAATAAAGGTTTTAGTAGCCTCTATTATGGTTTTAAAGATACTGCAAATTGTATCATGTTACTCTCCCAAGGAACAATTCAATTCCATGATTACAAAAGAGGAAAGAGAAGGAAAGTCAAGGGGAGGAGGAAGTAGAAGAAAAGGAAAAGAAAAATTAAAAAGATAAATATTTAAGACTAGCCTAGTAAACAAAAATTAATAGTTTTTCTTGGTAGAGGATTATTGCCTTTTTTGTTTCAGTAAGTGACTTAGCAGTTGAAGTGGAAATAGAGTCTGGTTCTCATATTCAATCTTTAAAAAATAAACTATCTTAAAAAGCTGATTATTCACGTGTACTCTCTCATACCCTGAACTATGATAGAACTGCCCAGGGATGGACTGTAGGAGTTGACTCTTTATGAAATCCACTTTATACTGTTGTTGTGAGCCACAATAAATATAATTCACAGTGCAAATTATCACATAATTATAAAACAAAAATCTCATGAAATACCCTATCTAATGCCATGCATTCTGGCATTTTTTTCTTTTGTTTCCTTCTTTAAAATAATCTCAAAGGCCAGGGATTTAGTTTAGTGGTTCTGCCACCTGCACTTGCAAGTGCAAGGTCCCAAGTTCGATTCCCCATACCAAAAAAAAAAAAAAAAAAAAAACCTCACAATCCACTAATGAGTCAAACTGTAATGGGTAAATCAACGTGAGAGCGAACCCACTGGCTAAATCAGGGGACCCCTGAGGATTTTCTTTCCTGCCTAAAATATTTTTGTTTTCCCTTTGTTCATTTAAGGTCTTAACGTACAGAAAGTTCTGAGTAGGTTCTTGAATTTTTCTTTTATTTGACCAGGGGTTTTTATTCTAGCAGTTTTAGTTTTCCTGTCCACCTTTTTTTTTTGTGGACATTTTTTGTGTACTGGCGTATTGGGATTGAGAGGTTCAGGCGACTTCAGTCCTCACAGGAGCACCGACTGTGACAGAATTGACTTTACTTGGAGTTTAGTGAGTCATGAGCGTGTATCTTTGTTAATAAGTCAGGTGACATCATCTTCTCCAGTATTAAGAATCCATGAGTTTTCTCATTTCTGCTGGTTCCATACTCCCAAGCTGTTACTGAGTGTGGAGGAAGGATTTAACTGGTGTCCACTGCCTAAGACCCTTGACCATCACTCTTCCTCACTCTTTACTAAGAAGATCCTGGGACAAGTGGGGTTATTCTAATCTCCCAGAAGTGAAGTCATAAGACTAAGGATTTTCTTCTGAATGGGGCTTCTCCTGTGACACTGTTCAACTACAGTAGAACAACTTTAGACCTTAGTCCTACACTAACGCTCACCACCACGGTGCAGAATTCCATCCCTACAGGCTGCTTCTATTTGCCCCCTGCTTGCATTACTGCCTGTGTCCCCCAGGCTGCCATCTAATTTTGTCTTTTTGCCCTTGCAGAGCTAAGTCCTCTAGCACTCAGCCTTCCTCACCTGGTCATTAACCTGAAACTAATTCTGGACTTAGACCAGAATATTTGAATACATGTTATGAGGTAGCCCTGGTCATTAGGATTTTGCTGACCCTGCCTGCAAAGCAATGCAATAAAGGGGCTGGCCTGCACAGACTAGGCCTGTACATCTTTCCAGCTCAGTGGGAGAGGAACTCATAACGTGCAAGAAATAGTGCCACCAATTTGCATATTATTTCAATTAATGTTCTGGGTCAGTATTTCCCAAAGTTATCTGGCTTTAAGAATCCTCTAGGCTGGGTGTGGCGGCACACACCTTAAACCCAACATCTCAGGAGGTTGAGCAGGAGGAGGATCACAAGTACAAGGCTATCATGCAAAGTTTAGCAAGACCCTGTCTCAAAAATCAATGGTAGAGTACTAGCCTAGATTGCTTGAGGCCCTGGGTTCAATCATCAGTACTACTAGGGGGAAAAATCTTCTGGGATATTTAAGCAGATTCCTTACGCTAGTCTTCTTGACTGAGAATCTCTATGGGAGAGTTCTCTGTGTGTTTTGGGTAAGCACTCTGGGTAATTCTTAAAATTGAGAGGTATTGTTTTCCATGTAGGTGTTAAAAGGGATAGGAGGAGAACTGGGAGGGGGATGGAATCACCTGGTGGAGCTTTCTGGAATATCTAGTGTCTTTTTCCAACTTGATTATGGAGCTTTGAAAACTGACATTATTTAACTTACATTTTAAATGGTGTAAGAGCCTGACTGAACCAGAGTGACTCCATGTTGACCAGCAAACGACCTAGAGACTGTCGCTCCCCCCCATCCCTTATAGGATAACTAATGATTAATTGTGAATTGTTAGGTAACTGCTTTGAAGTAGCTGGGAAACTAAATGGAGACTGTAGTGAACACAGAGACCCAACACAAATCACGCCACTCCTTACTTGCCTGTAGTTGAATGTTCTGAACATTATAATCTAAGTTGTAAATGGAATAATGGATAATCGATCTGCTGATCATTAGTACGTGACGGTCAAGTATATGCTTGATGACCACTAGCTCAGATGAACTGATTCTTTGCCTTTGTCCTCTTCCTGTAAGTTTTAAGTGTAAACCCCCCCCCTTAGCCCTATTTATAAAATGGCCTCTGTTTCTGAGCAAGCCGCCTCTCTGAGCTACTTGGCTTGGGGAGTGCCTTCTGGCCAGACTAATAAAGGTCTATTTGCCAACTTGCCTGGTGTGTTCCTTCCTGGGTGACTCTCACTGTCGGACAAGCTCCTGGAGCCTCGCTGAGCTTCTGAGCCCAGCATCATGGAAGCCTCTTGGCAGTTCACGCTCCAGGAGTAAAAGTGAGACTTAAGTCTTACAATGGAAATGTTTATAAATGTAAATTATATGGTCTTAAAAGCCCACTTAGATAATTTAACTTAGATATTTAAATACTCATTCACAAGATCAGAAATTATACAAAATGGTGTTTAGAAAAACTTCAAATTGCTTTTTTCTCAATTATATTAAAATTCTTTATAGGAATCTTCTATATAGCTCACTGTTTATCATCACAAGAACAATATTTTGAGTGATCTAACAGTTCCTTCCTAGTTATTTAAGACAGACCATAATTTAAATTTAGGTAGGTTACTGTCATTAGGATTTTAATGAACTTCTAGAACCATTTCTTAAATGTTTGCTTATTTTCGTAATGCTGGAAGTTGAACCTAGGACCTTGATTATGCTAGGTTCAACTGAAAGCTATCTGCTCAGCTATATCCTCAACCCAGGACAGTTTTTATTTCCCTATTTTTGAT